GGCCCAAGGGATGAGGATTGTCGTTGGTTAGAGACGCTGAGAGATATGACCCAGGATAGAAGTCAGTGGCGCGAATGCTGTAGGGTCTGTCTGTCAAAATCGCGTGCCCCGTAAAAACAACAAAAAACTTAAAAAAATTACGGTGAAACACAAAAATATTGTTATTCCGTTTATTCGTGATCTTCAATTCTGACCGTTGCATCTTTCCCTATACTGTGTAACCGACCCCCCCGCCTTATTTTTATTATTACTTTTGGCGTGGCGTTGGCACCATGCATGTACTCAAGCCGGTGTTAAATATAAATATGAAGAGTATGAGGAATGACCGTGGGAAGTGATGGGTGGGAAAGTGTAGAGATGAAGTGGGCAGTGGCTATCGGTAATAGTCGCAGTCTTTTTCGATTAGTTAGGAGCACAGGCCCAATGAAAGTGGGCGAGGTAATTAAGGAGTCACACGGCACACTGATTCATATTCAGCAACACCGTCTAGATCGATGGGCAGAACATTTTAAGGCTCAGTTCAGCTGGTCCTCGTCAGCGCAAGACGTCCCTATACCCGATTCAACTGTACAAATACTGCCAGTTGACATCCGTCCACGCAAGGCGTTTCTTTACACCCAAGTACCTTCTTCCTCTATACAAAGCTCTAATCCGCCCGATGCTTGAATACTGCAGTCACGCGTGGGGTGGAGCTTCGTATTCCGCTCTTTCTCTCCTCGCCCGTGTACAACGTAACGCCATCCGGCTGATCGGCGAGCCGTCTTTAACTGCCACGTTGCAATCGCTTTCCCATCGCCGGGCAGTTACTTCGTTATCACTTTTCTACCGTTACTATTTTGGTTTCTGCTTTTCCGAACCCGCTTCAGCGGTTTTCCTTCCACTGACCGTCTCTCGTTCTCAGGCGACCAGTCACCCTATCCCCAGATGTCGGACTCCTATCTTCCAATCTTCTTTTTCCCGAGGACTGCGAAATTGTGGAACATTCTTCCCATTTCCGTGTTTCCCAGCTCTTATAACCTTACCCTTTTCAAAAGCAGGATTAACAAATTGGTTCTTACTTGAATGTTCCCCCACATACCTCCCCTTACAGTATATCACTGGATATGGTGTTTACCACTTTGTTGCTGTAAATCACTTCGTGTGTATTAAAAAATGCTGAGGTTAGGCGCAGAGTTTTAGGTAGTCGCGGTGGTCTACTGGAGCACATAGTCGGCCTCCATAAATTACGTTGGTTGGGGCATGTGTTACGCATGTCACCAAATAGGTTGCCTTGAATAGGTTACTTTGAATTTGTGAGTAAAATACACCTGTCGTTTAGCAGTGTTCGACAATCGATGCTCACGTAGTCTGGCCCAAGTGGGATGGAGTGATCGGTTTAGTAACTTGGAAGTAAGTCATCGGGTGTTTGGGAATGCATCGAACAAGAACTCGCTCTCTCATCGAATCCAGCTCAGTAGGCTCCGTTGGTTAGGACACGTTTTGCATATGTCCGACAGTCGCCTAACGCAGCGCGCCTTGTTTGCAGTGGCTGTTACAGGCTGGAGAAAGCCACGTGGAGACCAGCAGGTGACTTGGAGACGAGGCATAAAGAAGTGCACAGAGCGATTAGGTAGAGTAGGTGTCTCTCGTCTTCCGGGTTGGGGTCCAAAAGACTCCGAAACCGCATGGTTGGAGACACTGAAGGTCATGGCTGCGAACCGTCCCTAAAAAATAGGCCCAATCCCTGTTCTCCTTACACATTTTCACTTATCTTGTATGCATTGTGAGTTTGGCAGCGACCACTGAAGTTCGCTTCACTGTATTACGCTGTCAATGATGATCATGAAATAGGTTGCCACGGCGAGCGATGTTTGCCGAAGCAGGTAGCGGTTGGAAAAACGTCAAGGGTAGTCAAATGAAGACATGAGGGTATGAAAACCCCAAACAGGGGACTAGAACACATAGGTCCCGTTAGGTTCCCTGGCTGGGGACCCCGAGATGACTGTCACCACTGATTAGAGACGCTGAGTAATATAGCTGGGTGTTGCAAACAGTGGCGCTCGGGCATCCACTCATTATTCTCCTAACACCTATATGAACTCTTCCGTTTGAATTTGCTTTCAACATTCCAATCTTCATTTTGCTCTTTTATCCAAGTAGGCAACAAGAAAACAGCAACCAAAACCGGCACATGAAAGTGCATGGTTAATGGCTGTAAGAACTGAACCGAACTGAACGGTGAAACAAAAATCTTGTTATTCCAGTTACCTACCCTTTTCTATTTTAACTTTTCCATCTTCTTCCCACTTTGCTCTGTAGTTCAACCCACCTGCCCCAAGTTATTGTTATTATTTTTGTGGCGTTGGCACCATGGTTGTTTACAAGCTGGTGTAAAATATATATATAGGGGAACTAACCGATTGGTCAATGTTTATCCAATTGTTATTGATGTGAACTGACGATCGTCCATGCGCAATGCTGAGTTCAGCCGTTCTTTTATACTTTTGAAATAAATTGTTACTTGTTGAACCGCAATATCCGACAAATGAATAGGCTGCTTATTTATTAGGTTTACTTTCCAACCTGAGGAGAGATGTACCTCTGAAGATACTAAGAGTAGAACCTGACCGAATGTATTGCGGTTCTTCTAATGATGCCTTACAGGTTTATGAAGTTGATACGAGCTTTTTAAAAAATGACGGATCCACGTTAAAATGGGTCTTATTCTGAATTGTGAACGGTAATTATTTTTCAGTGTACCATAGGTTGTTCGGTTTCCATTTCACCCCAATTCACACTTTTGACATTTATAGCGTCTTACTTGGTACTCAAATCAGTGATGAATTTGGGACGTTCACATGATATTTGTATCTTCGCTGAAGAACTAGCGCATTCTAATGGTATGTTTAACTGGTAGATGTATAATATTAGTTGCAGGTTTACTTAGGAAGTCTCCGAGTAACGGTCCAGTTACAGTGCCACTAACCTTATTGCCCTCACCATTTCCTGCATCCATGTTAGAACTGGCTTCATCTTTGCAACAAGATATTAACATTTTATATCATCGGGTCTCTATGGATCATGATTTCCTGGAAAAAACACTGAAACCGTAAGTTTTTAATACACTTTCCTCATTTATCATAGGACATTCGGTTTGGATGTTTATATACGTCAACTTTGGAACATATACAGTCGTGTGAAGGATGAAGGTATTGTTCAGGTATTTTATTTTATTTGTAGTGATAACATTGTAGTGATATTAAGCAGTTTTATCTCTTTTCTTATGATACATCGACCGAACGGTTTTTCATCTTCAGATCTTATTGTTTGAGTGATCTAGAGAACGGTTCTCGCAAAGAAATTCATTTTCGACACCACATCAGGTGGTTACATATTTAAGGTGATCGTAGTATAGATATCTAATTAATGGATTACGGTTCAGTTTATAACGATGACAGGTAAACAAGCAAAGAGAGAGCAAACATGAACAGGCTAACGGTAGTCAATGCTAGAGACATGGAATGAGTGAGAGGATAAGGGGTAACTGAAGTAATAACTGAATTAGATGAAATAAATGGGTTGGTTAAAATGTTAATGATAGTTGTAAGCGAAGGGGGGAGAGCGGGACGATATAAACTATAGCATGATGCGGTTTATTGAAAAGAAATTTCTCCGCGAACACCGTTTTCAACATCGTGTATTGGATTATTCTATCAGGTTACGTAATCGGCACTTAGGGACAGCAATTTGTCAAGGATGATGTGAGATAGGCCTACATCTTGTCAGGCATTCACCTAGGATCAAACGCACTGATAGTGTTTAACGCGAAATGGGTTACATCTGGAAGCAATATATAAATTCACTAACGGGGGTGCACTTGCAGGTTTCAAATAATCCACCTAACTGCAAACAGAGGTTGAGGGTAACTGGGAGCTCAACTTCCAGCGAGTTGGTGTCTAACGTATGAATGCGGCATCAGGGCGTTGGGCGGTCGAAGTCGCTTATACGACTCAATGGTCAAGGCGATGACTCACCAGGGATGCATAGACCCTGTTCAGCTAGAAACTGGCGTATGAGCCCCCCTCCCCGCCAGAAGGCCACCGGAAACCGTGCGCTACCTTCCTGCTGCCTCACAGTCAACACTTGGATGTGCAAAGGCTAGAGATGTCACCTCGACCTAAATCCGGGCGACGCTGGGGACGCTTCCTCTAACTAACTCCTAACAAACTTCATAGATACCATGAGGCCGGTTTATGCTCTCCCAGGAGCCAGCCATTGTAAAGTAAGCAAACGGCGATTGCGAGTTTCTAATCATAAAGATTCGTTCGATTACCACCTTAAAACTGAAACCCCCTACCTTCTAATTTTCCAGCTCTTTGCCATCCTCATGTTATCAGCTCATTTACCAACAGTTGTGGGATTCTATCTTCTTAATGTACAGAACAAGAACGAACAAGTTGTACAATCCTTTAATTCTAAGCATCTAATCAAGGAGCTGCAGCTGTCGTTTGGGTCTCTGTGGCCCTAGTTTCAATGCCCTCCAATTTAGGCCATCCTTGGTATTGACCCTATCTTCTACCACTTGTTTGATTACTGTGGATATGCAAGAATATGCACTCGTAAATTACACTTGGTGTCACATCGATATCTTTCAACCTCTTTTTCTTAACGTAAACGCATGCGTGATTTTGCTTACACGTAGTAATGTAGAGTAGTCACTTCCTTTTCACATTGATCAAACCTAACATTTGTTTGCAGTGCATTTGAAAGCTATACAATTAACCTGTGTTTTTATAATGGTCTAACAGCACTTTTTTATTCGATAGACTAAGTTATCTTGACTGTTCTGGGTGTCTGAAAGATCCTTATTGATCCATAGTGAATCCTTCAACCCTCAGTTATTTGCTCCCTTGTGGTCAAAAAGCTTTTATCCATTTGAATATTCCGAATTTCGGTTGGAAAAAATCCTTATCATGAAGATCAATTCCTGTATTATTATATTCATCTTTAATAAATTCATGTATCCAACTTTTACGCTAAAATTGGTTCCTTTCGTGCCGATGACCCAGCTCGCTCCTCATTGGTCGGTTCAGTCAGAACTACGGAACTTTTAGCTAACTTGAAACCTCACTGATAATCGACACTATCTTTTGAGTGTCGATTGACTCGAAGAGCTCAGATTGGTTAGGCTATCCATTAACGAAATTCACGGCGCTCTACAGTTGATGGTCTTGTCGGTGGTGATTTCTGGGAGCGTTGAGCTTTCGATCGAACCCACTCGTGGATATACTATTTGCGATCTAAGGAACAACCCAATCAATCCGTTAGCACCTCCAAACAGCTAAAGCGTAAGTCGCACTGGAAGCAAAAGATCAATGGCCTCCCAGCGCGTTTGTGACTATCAAAATGGCAACCTCAAAAATGCAACGGGAATTATCATCAACCGTCCCCACTAAACAATGGCACTGTAGGCCACGGCGTTTAGGTCCACCACCATAATCAACCTCAACCAAGGTAGTTGGAATAAACTATTGATGGACGCGCTTTGGTTGCTGATGCTAAACCAACTCACCGTCGACCGAGCACTACGGCTACGCAGGTGAACTGATCATCTCCAGATGCCCGTGGATCCACTGCAACTCGACCGGTAGACAAAGACGCACTACCCCAAGGGTGCACTTGCTAGAGAGGAGTTTTCCCCTTTAAAAGAGGCGATTCTCTCTCAAGTTACCTATTTTTTATTTGTTTTTATAAAAACCCAGTTTCTAGATTTCTTTTCGACAAATGTTCCTAGCCCGGCTAGTCTGTGATTTTCTCTATTTGCCCAATATTTTGCACTTTGTGAGCTAATTTGCAACGTCAGTAATGACCGACCGGAAAACAGATAAGTTCGTCCTCCAAACCGCTTTTGAGTTAAGTCAGATTCACAGCCTCGTGTAGTATTGGTGATCCTTCTTTCTTCTGCTTGGGTTGGGTCTCGGGGATTGTGTTTCTCTGCGTGTCTCGCTGACTGAGCTTAATTGGTATCTTATCTTACCGGTATTCGTTCTTTTGGTCAACAGGCTGGTTCGTGGTTACGATTCTTTCCGTTTCGGTCACAACAAATGGGTTTACTTTTTGCCATAGATTCTTGATGTTATCTTCTATTTGTGTGGTCCATCCGTTTTTCCTCGCTTGGCTTGAATGGTAACGTTTTTGCTATTTACTTGTCGCCTGATCTTTTCCAGGAAACGCTTTTCGTACCTAATTAGATGAATGCAATCAACACACAGATCACCTTTTGAAAAACTGGTAAATTGCATGCATGTTTTCTCCTGATTGCAATGGCACGCACTTTATTCACAAGTTGACTTTTCCACTTTTCTTTTGCTTTATCCTCAAAGCCTATCGTATTGGGTCTAAATCGTTCTGATTATATGTTACATGCTTCACCGGAAATCAAGGAAAATCACTGGGATCTGATCAAGAACACCAAAGAGGCTGCGCGATCCAAACAGATAAAGGATGACACATTTTGGTCCAGTCTCTCGCTGCGCCAAGTGGAAGTAAACATGGTTGCCACCAGCTTTTGTGGTCTTTCACCTCGAATGGTCACACAACACCGCCAAGTACTCGCGCTTATGGGGTTCACACCCGACTATCTGGATAGAGTAAGTTGCATCTGGAGTGGGACGTTGTTTCTGTATTTCCTTTTGCAACTTATTGTCTTAATGTTCATTGATTCTTTGAATGTAGATGGCATGGAGTTATGGAAAACGTTCGTTGTCATTGAAAATAAAATCCGATAGTCGAAACAAGCTGTTTTTCGATAAATTAATCAACTGACCATTTACATTTATGAAGGTAGAGCATTTAATATTGTTTGATCCTGTGCTAGGTGGACCTTATTACCCTATGTACTAAGCCATCCTACGTGCCTCAACAATTCGTTTGAGCTTCCCCTTGATTACGACTTTCTCCCAGTTACTACGCTGGCATCAGTTTGTCGCTTGGCGACTGGCCATGGTAGAGATAATGTCCGGAGGAAACGTTTCTGATTGCATATTGGGGGGCAAGCAGTTTGATCGCAATTGCTTCATCTGTGCACAGAAGGATAAAGCGTACTGATTTAGATGATAACGGTGGTATACAATGAACGGTTTTGAACGATCGACTTATGTCCACTTGGTGATTACTTTTGAGTAAGTGTTGGTGTTCCTTTGTTCTCTTTGATAGTCGTATTGTTGTTATCCTTCTGTGCACGGCTTAAACAATTGCGGTAAAACCGCTTGATCTCTCACTGTGCATTCGGAAGCGTCCGGACATTATCTCTACTATGACCAAGTAACAATCCGATGCGGGCATGGAGTTAAACCAATTTGTCGAGAGCAGAAATAATTTCCAGTTTTTCTATTGACATTAGTCAGCTGAATGTTGCATTCATTAATCCTTCCTCTGTCATTCACCCTATCTACTCAGTGTCGAGTTCTCACAAATTCGCTTCCTCGTTTTAACCGGTCCCCCTGCCCGGGTGAGATATTTGCGTTCTTCTAATGCAGTCGGTCCAAATGAGCTTAGTCCCTCAGTTCTTAGACCTGGTACAAAGCTACTGCCACAGCTTTGATTGCACATTTAATATTTTACTGGAACTGCTGACCACTCGTGGTTGTTGGTATCCGAGGCCCCATTCACAAAAGGCATAACACTGGCCCGATTCCGAAAAGCTTCACACCAATCGCTCTCTCTTCTACCTACTTAGAATCGATGAAGCGTCTTCGGGTATCCCTCGTTATCCCATAATATGTCAGTCCGCTTACTAGAAAAATCTTTACAAACTGGGTGCTGTCTCTTCTTCAGTTCAGTTTGGTTTTGTCTCGGAATGGCAAATCCACACATGTGCACTGGGCTTTTGCTCATCGCTCCGTGTTTCTTCACTCTGTGCCCTGCTCCCTCTTACTTTGCAACCTGCAACCTTTCAGCAGTTCCTGGGTTCCTCTTGAATGCTTGACAGACTTTCATGTTTTGCCGATATGATCATGTGGATTTAGGAAAAAGAATCCACAGCGTCACTCAACAGTTCGGCTGCACTACTAGATACTGTCTTATCACTCTGTCTTTTTACGCCTTATATTAGTATTGTACCTGTTACCCTGTTCACCATTTCAAGTGTGCTTCTGATATTCCCATCTCCACTGCTGTTTCTGTTCATTCGGAATTGGTAACGTAAAACATCTCATCCTGTTACGTACTCCACTTCGCGCGTTCTTCATTTTACCCTGACAAACGCTTCGAATATATCTTCACCCCAAACCGTTCCTTTCCTCTGTCGAAAAATGTGCCGATGACGCACACCGTTACTTAGAGTCAGTTGTGTGAAGTACTTGGGTATTCTCCTTCAGATATTTATGTTTGGTCTCGAAAGACCCAGACTATTGCTCCCAAACCGAAAGAAATTTCCTCTCAAATGCGAATATGTCGTCACATTTGCACTAATTAGTCACTGATAAGTTCTTTCCTTCAACAGTTATGGCTCTTTTGAGGTTTTCCCTGATCTGCTGAGGGCGTGCTGTCAATATGACTAACCGTGTTTCCCCGATTCCTTTGTCCGTTATGACAAACAATATTTTCTCTTATCACATTGATGCTTACCTGAAGTTTGCATATCACATTTTATCTGACGGCACCCACATTGACTTATCCTCATTTATGGTACGTACGCATTCCTTTATCAGATACCATTGCTAATCCAATCACGTGGCACAGTTGTTCATGACAAACACTGACTGATACCCTTCCAATCCATTTCGTCCGTGCGCCAGCTTGACCTAGTTTAGGTTATCGTTTAATCGATTGATGTACTGTTCATTCATTAAATCGTCAACCCAATTCTGATCAGCGCTCTCTCTTGTATGTTCTGATTTCTTGTGTTGGGTTACTGGCCCTAAAAATACTGTGTATAGCGTCGCGGTTGGAATTCAGTCTTAACAATTTAAAAAGCTAGAAATCAATCAGTGAAGAAGTCGAAGTTGACAGAGGCATCGTTCAGAAACACTAGGTACCAGACAACGGACTGGCGGCCCATATATTGCAACCATCACCACTATCTACAGTGGCCAATTATTCGCTCGACATATATATCTTCAAATGCGTAGTATGCTTAGACTCGAGTGTACGGCAAGATTTCCCTGGCGAACGGATGCACGAGACAATCGAATGTGGGAAGAACTTTGAATGGGCTGTAACCGTCAACTGATAGGAGGTTCTGTCTTGTAAGGATTAACTGACAATCTAAAAAAGAGAGAAAATACAAACAACACATGAAAAGACCCAGTGAGACTCACACTCAAACTGAATAAGCGCTGCAGTAGTGCATTCCAATTGCAATCTAGCTGTCGGTCATACTTAAGAAGTTTCATCTCAACCCGTGTCAATCTCACTGTTCTGGTGTTTGTTTTTACTTCTTTCAAATCGCTGACAACTAACCCCTATTAAGGTTTATAACGGTTTATGCGGTTGAACTTGGAGGCTATAATCTAACTTGCGTCATGCAAAATAAGGTGTCTCATTAGAACCAGATCAGCTGTGTGAGTGCCTCTGAACCGTCATCAATATCAATAATATCAAAGGCAATTTAGCATATTTCTGTTCCAACAATCGTTATCTACTTCCAATGGCCTCGCGGCTAAGCGTTGATGCAATTTGACTTCATACATTTGAAATCAAGAATTTTTCGCCGGGTGCTCTGTCGGGATGTACACGCCCGACCACCAGGTTTGGAACCAACCAAATTTCGTCAACTTTGGATCTAGTACTGACAAGTGAAGAATTGATGGTCGAATCAATTGCAATCGCAACTCCGTTGGGGCGCAGTGATCACGCTGTATTATTGTTCGAATATGTTTGCTATGCATCAGTAGCGACAGTTTCTTCGGATCGCTTTCGCATCATAACCGACTATGTGAGACTAAACACTTTGGCTCATGGAATCCAATGGATCTCCCCTGATGTAGCCTGCAATC